AGGTTGGGAATGTAACTAGAAGATTCTCCTCAAGAACACAAAAATATTTGAGCTCAAGTCATACAAAAACTATGCCTTTTCCACTAGTTAAAATAAAATTCAATAAATACCAGTTGCATTTTACCTTTCCTGATAATGTCTGTCTGTGAAAGAACCAAGAGACCAGGACTTGGCCATATTTTAAATCAGAGCAATATTCAGAGAAGACCATTGTTAATAAACTATTCTAATTATAACCACAAGGAACAGCAACCAGTTTTTCAGTACTTTTCCCTACCTGAAGACCCTGTTCTACATTTCCTTGAAATCAAGACATTCATAGGCATTAAGGGAGGAAAAAAACAATCAGAACACAACTGAACAGAAAACAGAACAAAATTTGCTTTATAGTCAGGGATCTGGAATTTCTCAGGAATGACTTGGAAGCTTGTGGGGGGGCAAGACTTACACACATTTCAATAGGACAAAACAGATTCAGGCAACTCCACACAGAAAAACAAGGGAAGAAGAAGCAGGACATGTGCAAAATGACACTATCAGAAAAAGCACCTTAAGAAGATTCTCTCAATGAGACAGCAATTAATGACCAGCATCATCCCTTTCTGCCAAACAGGAATAGAGGAAAGCTGCAGCTACCTGGTCATTCCAACCCTAAGCTTATCACTCTTTCAGCAAACACCCTTCTGTCTAAACATCCAATCTGGTCCTCTCTTCAAGTGAGTTTACTGCAGCAAAACTGAATCATTCGTCATTAATCTTAAACCAACCAACCAGCCACAGGAAAACTATTTCATATTTCAAAAGCATCAAAAGGAACAATAATCTACCCTGACTTGACACAAAGCCCCCCCCCCAAAGTAGAATTATTTTATTTCAAAACCCCAGACCAAGCCCCTCTGCCCCATATGCAGAAAGTGACTTTCTGCACACACTTTGCAGCACCATAATGCAGCTGCCAGGAGACACAGCTACAGCTGTAGTGAAATCACAGGCTGGTGTTAAAACACAAAGTACTCCTCTCTCCCAGTACCTCTGCTCTCTACAGTCCCCTACACACTCAGAAAAATAATTGGGAAGGTTCTCTGCAAAAGCAGCACTGGGACATCCTCTATCTTTAACCATAGGTCTTGAAGGAAAAATAAATACCACAGAGAAGAGACAGATATTATTCACTTCTATGGGCAGATATTATTCACCAACTTTGGGAATCTTCTGCAAGTTTCATTACCTGACTAGACCATCTTGTCCAATCTCCTTAGCACTGTTTCATTCACCTTCTCCATCTCCCCTCCTTCCCCTTTTCCTTTTTCGTAAGGTCACACACCCTCTGGAGATGGTTTATGCATTGCTAATTCAGTCCTGTACCTAAACCCAAGGATATCTGCTAGAGCTGCAAACATTCCAAGACAAGAAGTAGATGATCACTAACAATCAAGGCATCTGAAGATACAAAACAACCTTGTGCAACCACACATCAAGATTTCTCTTGACCATCTCACTGAATATAAGACAAGCTGGGGAAAAACAAGAAAAACCCCTCTTATTCTCTTGTACCACCTCCCCACAGTCACCTTGAAACACGAGTTTGATGTTCAAACGTATTTTAAAATTAAGCTTTTGATTACCACAATATCCCAACACACAGAAAGTAAAACAGGAGATGCACAGAAGGAAGGTACAGAATTCATCTCCTAAAGCAACAACTGGAGATTGTGAGCACGGTTCCAACGGCAAGAGGAAATCCAAGTCATTATTTCCAGAGTTGCTTACACTACTTTCTACAAACACCTACTGAAGCCTTTTGAAATGAAGCGTTAAGTGTCCCCCTAACAGCAAACAACTGATTAAAGAAAGGGAAGAACTCCAAAGGAGGATTTCCAGCTCACTTCTGAAAAACTAAGGATCTCCACCATAGAAAGACACAACAGCTTACCAGGAGATACCTGTGCTGCAGCAGTTCCTCTGAACCCTCTCTACTGCTCAGGAGTAGCGAGGGAGAGGGAAAGCTTAGCCCTCTTTTCAAATCAGACACCAAATCTGATGTGGAAGGAACAACACTCCAACAAAACTGCAGGGAATAAGAAGCCTCCTTTCTAAAGCACCTGGCTGGCTCTGATGGTGCTTGGTTGGGGTTCTGTAGAGCTGTGTCTGTCCTAAAGCAATTTATGCATCTCTGAGATGGCAACTAGAACAAGTAACCAGGCAATTCACTGTGTGGTGTGGAGGGTGGCAAATAAGTTATGCTGAAAAGGATACAGTGATTCAATCAAATATCCAAAATTGCAGCTGATGGACAAGGATCATACAGACACTGCCTGAATGTGTTTGTGTAACACACAAACTTTCCCAGTGTCTCACCAACACCTCTCAGAGTTACCAGTTGTATTTCTCACTAAAATCATGAGGAAGGATCATGGTTCATTCTACCAGAAGCATTTCAGCAGGCTACAAGACTACACAGAGGCCTTTTGACTACAATTCAGTTTCAATTTGAATTAATTTAATCACAGCTGGAAAAAAAAAAAGAAATCAGGAAAAGCTGTGTCACCAGAGAAATTTGCACCATAGTTCTGTACATCTCCTGGAACTTTAGATTCACCAGACCCGAAACTAAGGATCAATGAAAGCAGAAGTTTGAGTGTGCATCAAGCAGGCAGGCACACAGCTCCAGAGATAACAATGGAAACTGGAAATGCTTGGCAAGCATTCCATCTTTACTCATCGGATCACTGTCGAAATGCTGGAGAACTAATTAAAGTAAGTCTGTAAGAAGAGATGTGTTGACTAGACCATGTCCTGCCTCAGGATCCTTATCCTTCACTGGATGGATAAGGAGCAGAGATGCACTTGCAGAGATTTCAGCACAGGCTGTGGGAGCACAGGCATACAGGGAGCCTCCCATCACTGTTACACTCTGCAGGATTAATGACCAGCCAGAGGAAAGAGTCCTGACAGCCCTGGGACAGGACAACAGAGCACGTCCCATAGGATGCCCCTGTCCCAGTGCCAGGCAGACTCTGTCTGCACGCCCTGGAAAAGCGGCTGTGTCGCCTGCGTCCAGGGCTTATGAGCCCATCGCCAGCAGAGCTCTTGGCTGGGCATGTGACTTCTCCATGACCAACTTTTTAATTTGGTGCTGCACCAGCTCTGGACTAACAATGCCTTACACATCCACGTCTTAAAGGGCAAAGTACAGGGAATGGAGCAAAGGAAATAAGCAGAGCCTCACACACACGAGAGGTCCCTGAGCTGACAGTGTGTTGTCCTTGCTGCCCATCCCTAGTCCAGCCACGCTCCTCACAGTCAGGAGCAGGAGTGTCCCCCAGGCTGCCTGACCCCCCCAGCTCACACACCCCTGACCTTGCAGAGGGCTGTTATCAGCGCTCCAAGGAGCGGTCCAGAGGGCAGGAGTTCCAACTAAACACACCGGCCCTCACTTCATGAAAGGCAAGGCAGCTCGTGCCCTCTTCTCCAGAAGCACAGGGATTCATTTTTTTGTTGCTGTTTTGTTTCTGAAAACTTCTTAAGCTTTCCAGAAGAAGCAGTGAAGGGAGGCTTAGACCTACAAGATCTAGGGACCAGCTTCCTCCTCACATTCCAAAACACCACTACACATCAAAAGGGAGAACATGGAAACAACAAACACAGCTCCACCCAGGCCTCTCACTTGTATCTGAGTATCCATTTGCGCCTCCCTCACCAGCACCAAATCCCTATCCCTCCCACTGGCACCGAGACACAAAAAACATGGACTGGAAAGCTACAGAATGAAACATGGACAGTCAAAATGGAATTCACTGTCTTAGTTGTGCTACTGTTCTGTTCACACAAACCTGAGAATAACTTAACACCAGATCACGAGAATGATGATTAATCATGCCAGTATGTCCTGTTTGTAAGAGGCACAAAGTAACAATTACCATCTAAACAGTATTTTATAGGCTCCAAGTTTATAGGCTCTTAGTTTGTCATCAGCAGACACAAAGCTCCAAGATGTAAACTTTACTAGTTCAAAGCTGTCCATAAAGGAAAAATCGCATCTATTTCACTTTCACTCCCCATGAAAAGTTCTAACATCTTGTTAAAAAGAGAACTGACACACTCAGCAGCTATTCTGAATCACTGGCATACTTCCTCACTTTCCATCTTATCACAATTACATCACTACTAATCCATTACATGTCCTGATTCCTGTCATCCAGTGACTGAGTAGCTTCTAAAGTGCCTTTTTCAAAGCTAAAATGTGACAGGAAATAAAATGATACACATACTTCTTGTACCAAAACCAGCTTTTAAAAAATATTTCATATAAAGAAGCCAGAGGCACAGAAGTGCCCCTCCTAAAGTTTGGAGAGCACCATAGGATTTCCAGCATTTTCTCAGACTTGATATTTGCTAATGTTTTTTACATCTAGTTTATATTTATAATCCAGAAAACAGACATCAGAAAAATCCAGTATTTTCAATCATTCATTTTGATGTTATCTAAAGAAACTGCTGCCAAGATTCAGCTCTAGTTATAGGTCTTTTTCTACATAAAAGTCTGCATTTTAACATTCGGATTTACTGGGTTTAGATCTATGAAGCATCAAGAACATTCTGTGGCCAATCCCTAGCAGCTTTTAAACTGAAATACAAATACATTTTTAAGGCAAAAAACCAGGCAGAAGCACTTTTCAGAAAAAGAATAAATTCCTTCAAGGGACAGATATCCCAATATATTGAGTAAATAATACACGCACAAGGGGGGCACGAATACAGGGACAGTATAAACTGACATAAAGTCTGTTGACTGGATTTATCTTCATTTAATCGTTACTACTGCTCTAAGTGCTGAATCTATTTTACTGCGGTTTTTAAATAAAACACTCCCTAGAAATATCCCAAACGAACAAAAAGCTCAAAACCCCAGACCAAGAGGTAAGCGGGAGGCCGTGGATGAGCCGCCCGGCGGGGTCACATCACCCCGGCTCTGTGGCGAAGCCAAAACCCGAAATTACCGCCGGGAGCCCGGCCCAGCGGGGCAGCGAGCGTTCGAACTCCTCACGGAGCCAGAGCCGGTGACAAAGGGAAAAACACGCCTTCTCCAGCCCGCTTCCCCCTGTCACATCACCCACACCCGGGCATGACGATGGAAAAGCGGGATTTTCAGCACTTTTCCTCACAGCTCCCGTCTCCAGGAGGCAGCTGCCCGGCCATCGCTGCTCCCCCTTCCACCGTACACTCAGCCCGCGGCAGGGAGAACCCGTGGAAGCGCCCGCTAATCTCCCTCACGGGACGGGCCCCGAATCCACCGGATGGAAATACTCCTTCCGGGAGAGAAAGGAGCGAGGCGGGCGCGGGGCGAGCGGCCGCCTCCCGCCGGGCACGCCCCCTCACTGCGTGAGGCCCGGGCCGGTCCTCCCCGCCGCCCCCTCCCCGACCTGGCAGTGTGAAGACGACGAGGCTCTGGTTGCCTTCCCCGTGTACTCTCCATGTCATTCTCATCCATCTTCTCCCACTTCATGCCGGCCGGGCCGCGCCGGAGGGCAGGAACAGCCGCGGCCGCCGCCCTCAGTTCCGCCTACCAATCGCGGCATGCGCCGCCGCCGCTCGCTGAGGAAGTCCCGCCCGCAGCCCGCGCCATCTTGGAAGCCGGGCAACCGGCGCCGCCGCCGCATGGCGGGGCCGGGCAGGGGTCCGGGGCAGGGTCCGGCGGTGAGGGGAGCGGGACCGGGCGGGAATCCCCGGCGGAGGCGGAGCGGGACCGTGCAGGGGTCTCGCGGTGAGGGAGCGGGACCGGGCCAGGGGTCCGGCGGTGGGGGAGCGAGATCCGGGCAAGGGGTCCGGCGGTGAGGGGACCGGGACCGCGGGCTAGGGATCCGGCGGTGAGGGGAGCGGGACCGGGCGGCAGCAAAAAGCGCCTTCTGCCCTCAAAACGGCCGTTCAAAGAGTGGCTGTGTGGCAGTGGTTGGGCGCCACTGGTGAGCCGTAGATGAGGGGTTTTCCAAAAGGAAAGGGAACAAAGAGTGGGAAAAAAAAAAAAAGGGGGTTTGGGTGGGGGGGAAAAGAAAAAAAAAAAAAAGCCCCCCCACGCCCCGCGCGAGGAGCGGCTGAGGGCACTTGGTCTGTTCAGCCTGGAGAAGGGGAGACCTCATCGGGGTCTTCAACAGCATCCTGAGGGGCACGTACAGGTCTCTTCACTCTCCTGGCCACTCACAGGAGCCGAGGGAACGGCAGGAGCTGAGTCGGGGGAGCCTGAGGTTGGATCTCAGGAAAAGATTCTTCCCCCAGAGGGTGGTGGGGCACTGAACAGGCTCCCCAGGGCAGTGGGCACGGCCCCAAGGCTGACAGAGCTCAAGGAACTTTGGACAATGCTCTCAGGGACAGGGTGGGATTGTTGGGGTGTCCTGGGCAGGGCCGGGAGCTGGACTCGATGATCCTGATGGGTCCTCTCCAGCTCAGGATATCCTGTGATTCCATGGTATTGGGTGCCCGGATAACATCCTTGGGGATCGCCGTGTGGAAAATGAGCTTGCACCTGCAATGTGCAGATGGTCAAACACACACACACAAAAAAGGTGGAGTTGTACCTTTGGGGTTGTGTTTGACAGAATCACAGAATCAGTCGTGTTAAAAAAGACCTCTGAGATCAGTCCAACCTGTGCCCGATCCCCACCCTGTCAGCCAGACCAGGGCACTGAGTGCCACCTCCAGTCTTTCCTGAAACACCTCCAGGGATGAGGACTCCCCCACCTCCCTGGGCAGCCCGTTCCAAAGTCTTTTCAGATACACTTTCCAACCACGGCTGGTTCCAATGTTACAGATATTTGCTCTTGCAGTCAGAGTGTATCCAATAGCTTTGTGCTCCAATACACCAGGTCAGTCAAATGCCCCACTGAGATGTTACAAGCAGAAATATGATCTATGTAACATTCTTTAAAAATTAAACATTAAGCTGTGTTCCTCACCAACATCCCCCCCAATGTATGAATATACACATACATGATGTACAATAAATATAAAATAATCTAAAGATCCAAACTCCCTATCGCTAACACAGGATTAAATTCTAGAATCCTTAATCCACTAATTTTTATTTATTTATGTCTAAATGAGTTTTGACTGCAAACAGTGAAACCAGTCCTTCAGTGATCATTTTAAAACAATCCCTGAGGGCTCTCTGAAATCCTTCCCCTTTTCTATCCTGCTTCCTCACAAGGCTCTCCATGACACTGGTCAGACTGACAAACACTTGCAAGTTTTACTCTGTATAATTTGAACAGTACCCAAATTTGACTCTGTATTGCAGCCTCTGGGAAAAAAAAGTCAAAGCAAAGCAAACTATGCCATTTTAATGGAGAGAAGATGCACCTAGAAGGCTGAAAATAAAACCTGTATAAATCTGCAATGACTCATTGATCCTTTTTTTAAATGTATGTGGTGCTGTAACTTAATCATTGCTCATCTATTTTCACTAGAACTTAAAAAATGGGAGTTAAACAAAATAAATGCCAAAACACTAATTGATAAGCACTTTTCCTTTTTTTTTTTTTTACAACCTATAGGTGTCTACATGAAAAAAGAAATCTCTGCTCCTTTGGCCATTTGATAAAGATGAAAATAATGACAGTGATGTCTTTAAAATATGTTTCTGTCACCTATGTTTGCAAAGTTTCTTTACGTTGTATAACTAGATATGGATATATAGAACATACAAGAATTAACCATTCTGTTCTGACTTACCAAGATTTCTATATAGAAGTCTCACTCAGGACTGGAAGTAAGATTGTGGTATTTATGATACTTGCATTAAAAAATAACTGTACTTTAGAGAAATATGGACACTTACTAGGCTTGCATGGAGAAATACAAGGACAAGTAATATCAATATATTGGTTTGCAATGGCAAAACTAATTTGCCTCAGTTTTAAAAGGAACTTTAGCATAGCAAGTTCTTTCATATTTCTGAAGAATACACACCTACAGAGTCAAAAATAAAGCTGAGGTTCTGAGTGCAAGGGTAAACAACAGTGAGAACACCAAGTTTTAACATACTCCTTCCTTCTCTCTAGCAGGTCACTTCCCTCTCCACTTTTTCCTCCAGCATTCCCAGGTGCAGAACTATCACTTGGCAGCGTTCTGAAAATAAACTGGTGAAGCTTGAAAACCAGAGCGACAGAAACCTATATAACTTATATTATTTCTCCCCGCATTATCAGGTTTTATGACTCATTTCAGGTATTATCTTCAACGTGTTTGGACTGAAACACCTGAATTTCATGCCATGGATGACATTCAGGTATTGCTGAACTGGAATTCCCCTCTGGTGGCTTGTCAGGTGCTGTAACTCCAGCTGGGGTGGACATACCTGGAGTGGTTTTAATGAGGTGCCTTGAGCTCAGCGACCTCAAAACCCACCTGGGGATCTCCGTACACAGCCAGGTGTCCCGTGGGATTTTAGGATAAGCTAGTTCAAAACTGCAGTGGGAATGCATATTGTGCCTTCAGTTCTACAGCTCCCACTTAATCCCCTCACCATTTCCTTTTTGATGTAACATAAAGGGGTCAGGACAGCACCACAGGCCTGAAATGCATTTATTTTCCTCAGGGTCCTGTAGCTGCGTTGTGTTTTATGCCACAATTCCTGTTTCTCGGGACTCTTCAGTGTCAGGAATACAAAAAAAAAAAAATAAAATTAAAATTAGGGTAAATAATCTGTAGAGTTTAAAATAGTGGTTACACTGTTCTCAACCGTGCAGATATTCTCAAATAAAAGATAAAGTGTCCCAAGATCACAGTTCATGTGACATTAAGAATAAGCTAGTAAAGTTCTGACACACAGGACTATTGTCAAACAGATTTGCAGCCAGAAGTGAGAAAATAACCATCCTGTCTCTTTATACAAAGACAACAACACATTAACTGACATGAAATTTCTTCCCCTCCATCTTCTGTCATCTCATGTCTGTAGTTGTTGCTTGGTTTTAAATGGCATTTAAACTCTGGCACTGATGTCACCTCATTACTCATTATTTGTCCCAGCTCATTACTCTGCCAAAGCCCACCAAAACATGATTCCCCTCCCAGCTCCAGCTCAGAGCCTCTGCTGTGTTCTTTTCCCAGGCTTTCACATTTGCCATCTTTTACAAATTGTAAGTTCACCAGGGAATGAGAATGAAATGGTAAGGACAGTTCACAGTCCACTTACTCACTTTGAGGATGAAAAAAAATTACCAGGCAAGTACTTCATGTTACCATTTTTTGCTATAAAAAGCTCATTAAACCCAGACCTGAGGAAAAAAATAGCATTACCTGAGACTCATGATAAAATTGGGTGCCAATAATACAAAGGTCCTGTGGGCTTATGAAGAGGATTTTTGTTATAAAAGCTACATCTTAGTTCTCCACGTTCCTAAAATGAAAGGCTTCTATACAAAAGAAAGGATATTTTGTTCTTTATGAAAAGAGTAATCATGACACAAAAGATCCTCTCCTGTGACCTAGAAATGTCTGCCTGGAGAAATCAGGATTAAAATCACAAATTCAAGGCAGCGAGTCCCAGAATATTGAACAGACATGACAAAACCACGATGAAACTGTGCTACAAAATACTATTGCTATTTGTTTTAAACTACTGCCCCATTTTCAGTTTCAAAAGATGCAGTTACGTTTAAATAGGACAGCCAGTTTTGTATTTTTATTATACTCAGGCCAGCAGAAATGGAGCACACTTATGTAACTCACACATCATTCAAATTTTAAAGCTTTGCTTTTTTTTCTCATCTCACGGCAGGACGATGCCACTGCTCCACGCCACAGCTATTTCCTGAATCCTTGGTTTATCTACCTAATCTCACACACATACTGGAAGTGCAGGAAATGTCATGCTCCAACTGTCATTTCACCATCTCAGACTGACTGAGAATCACTGACCCCACAAGGGAAGAAGATCAGAATAGGACTGGAGTGTGTCATTCGACAGCTTTTTTAGAAAACACGTGTGACACTTTGCAAAGGAAAATATTTTAGAAACTAAAGAAGCCAATGGCTTCAGGAATAGGGCTGTAAGGAGCAAGAAGGGTGACTTTAAGTGAATGAAGATAAAGCCACATATATGTTGTTAACAGACAAGAGCTTGCACAAACTTACCACAGATGTGAATAAACAGACATTATAACCATCGAGAGGTTTAATTACATACAGTCTGAGGGAGGAAATAAAGTAGTAGACACAGCATAAAGAACAACTCTGTCCTGTACATGTAACTCCAAAGAACTGCCAGGACAGACAATATTTTTTACATATAGACAAGACAGTTAAAAAACATCTTCCATGCACAGGAGTCCTGAACATTTATTGAGGAAAAAAAAATACAACTCACTACCAAGAGGGTATGACCCAAAAAACAAACAAATGAAAAACACTGTTTTGAATTTTTGGGAGTGGCAAGAGCAAATATATGGAAAAGAAGATCTAGTTAGGAACTGTAGGAGGTCACTAAAGCAGAAAGCTATGGTGAAATCAGAAAGCTTTGACAGGGTACTAAGGCAGAAGGGAACAAGAGCAACACCATCTAAGCACCTCCTTAAAATCTGTTCTCACAGCCTCTGATCCTGCGGGCAAGGAACGAAAGATGAAGGGATAAAGAGCTTTTAGGCCTTGCTTTGTATTAAGGGAC